GTAAAACTCAGCACTGAATCTGTCCAGATCTGGGCTTTTCATTACTGGGAGACTACTTTTATTACTGATTCAATTTCCTCATTTGTTATTGGTCTGTTCAAATTTTCCATTTTGTTCCTAAGTCAATCTTGGTAGGCTGCATGTGCCCAGAAATTTATACACCTTTTTTTTTAGATTACTCAATTTGTTGATATGTAATTGTTCATAATAATCTCTGCTGATTGTTTCTATTGTGCTGGTTGTAATGTTAGTTGGGCAAGGTGTATTGGCTTTGGTTCTGGGTGGAGGCATTGTGTAGTCTCCATGCCATTTCTTCAGCTGCAATCCCTGTCAGCAATGTCTGTGAGTGCCTCAGTGGCTTAGGCTGTGGACATCTGTGGCAACACTGGTACACTTAAACCAGGTTTGGGCTTGATGGGCTGATTTTCAGGTTGATTTGGGGGTGAACTTAATGAAGGCAGGTTTGCTGAGCTTTTTATTCCTACTGAAGGCACAGGTTCATGGCAGTTCAACTGGCTCAGGTGCTGATCTGCCAGGTGAGGGTCTACTGGACTGTTTTTCCAGCAAGGAGTAAGGACATGCAGTGCTGCAGCCAGCCCCAGGATGCCTCTCCCATTGTACAGGATCATCTGTTTTTTTCGGAGGCAGCATTCTACATAGATAAGGACACCAGAGCCACAACTGTTTCTGGCTGCAGGCTCTGAGCAACTGGGATCATGGCATTGTAGTTGCCTATGTGGGCATGGTGGAATGAGAGTAGAGCCTTCAAGAGTGGAGAAATGAAGTGGCTACTGGTCCCCTGAGCAGAGAGCTCTCAAGCACTGGCTGTAGTTTCAAAATAGCACCATACCATAGCAGCCTGGGTCACGGGATGGTAAGGGTACGCACATTACTCATTCTCTGGAGCCATGCAGCTTCATGAAAATTTCTTGAAGCTCTACAAACTGGGATCAGGGCCTATGAGGACTGTAGAATTCTACCAGAGAAGGACTGCATGTGCCTGCAGTGGTAATGGGAACTGTTGGGGGCCTATGGCTTACATTTTTCCAACAAGGAAAAGTGCTTCCTGGCTTAAAGTTGATCTCCATAGGGGAGACAGGGCAGCAGAGTTAGGGAGTCTTGCTAATAAAGTAGGAATTATTGTCTCTGTTTACTAAAGTAAGGAGAAAAGGTCAGTGAGGTTAGGCAACTTACCAAACATAACACAGTAAGTGGTAGAACTTGGATTTGAACCCCAGCCTAATAATCCAAATCGTCAATTATTTCTACTAAATCAGGGACTTTCACATATTTTAATCATGACTCACAGGAGGAAGTGCATTTTACTTCATGATCCAGTACACAGACAAATATATACTATTCAATAAAAGTTTCATGAATCAATACTTACCCTTAAAACATGCAGTGTTTTCTATCTCCTATTCTAGTTTATAAGTTAGAAACTGATAGTCACGACTGGCAAAATTATTTTCACGACCCACTAATGAAACATGATATGTGATTTTTTCTGATATCAAAAAGGACTAACGTATATTTTTTAAAATCACTGCACTAAATCACAGCCTTTCTTTCTCAAATATGATTCTCAATTTAGGAAGGAGTATTAGATTCTTCAGTTATAAAATTCAGTTAACCTTGCCACTTTTACACTTGCTTTGTGGAAGCTCGATAAGTGAACAAGCATCGTAGGCGTTTGTCAGAGGTAATCAAACATCTGAGACAACCAGTGCATGTGAGACCACTGATACAACAAGCATGTTACAAGGGCTTTATATATTCATCTAATTCTTTTAACAACTCAATGAAGTAGACAATATTATTATTTGCATTTTACAGATACAGCACCAGGCAGAGAAGGCTTATTTGGTTTGCCAAAGATTACACAATGAGTGAACACCTGAAGTGGGATTCAGACCCAGGTAGTCTGACTCCAGAGTTCACATAGTAATGTGCTGACTGCCATTCACCATGGAACTTCGCATCTGATTCACATTAGTTTCTCAAAGAAACAACTTCAATGGAATTGACTCAACATTTAACTTCTGACTTACTAAGGAAGAACTGGCTCTATGTCCTTAATAAAACTGCTATAAAAATGCTTTATTACCCTATGCAAGAGAAAATCTGGTTTCTCCAGATCTAAGTATTATTTGTTTTATTTTATTGGAAAATAAAAGCTATGTAACACCTCAATTCCATTTTTTGTCAGAATTTGCCTTTGCCTCAGAGTTAAACTAAGCATTTTTAACAGTAACCCTTTATCACTATCTTTTCAGTACACATGCCTATCTTCTTCACATTCAGCACCACTATGCTAGGAGCTGAACGATGACAAGTGAGACAGGTATCTCTAAGGCTTTCACTGAGGTGAATGTCTAACGGGGGTGACATACATTCAATAAATAATTTCATTGCTAATGACATGTATAGGTTGCAGAAAGAAAAAGTACTGCATGCTTTGAAAGTATATTATTGGAGGACCTAATCTGGCCAATGAGGCTAGAATATATTTAAGGTTGCATATTTTTGCTGAGCCACAAAGGATGATAGGGAATCCACCTCAAATTATTTCTAGGCAAAGAGAAGAAAATGTAGAAGACCCTGAGAATAAAAGGACGGCTGTTTATAAAATTTGGTAACTTGCCAACAAGAACTGTATGTACAACACATTCCATTGGCATCTGCTCACGATACCTGATAGGAACAGGAAAAAGATGAGCACCGCCCAGCTTAATGAATAGAGGCTGATTCTGCTCTAGGTGGCAGTGGGTAGCATAGTTCTCGATTTTGGCTGAACATTAGAATGTGGAAAGCTATTTCCAGGAAGGAGACCAGGGACTGAGAGACAAAAAAGACTATGTTTAATTTACTGAATTTCCCATCATAGGTGACAAAGAAATTGAGAAACTAGAAAACACTGTAAGGAAACAGTGATCCTATTGATCTACTTAACAGTATACCTATGTCATTTAATGACAAAGGATACATTCTAAGGAATGCATCATGGACAATTTTGTCATTGTACGAACATCAGAGTGTGACTTACACAAATCTAGATGATATACTACATATCTAGGCTATATTGTACAGCCTATTACTCCTAAGTTATAAACCTGTGTAGCATACTACTGTACTAAGTATTGTAGGCAATTGTAATATAATGCTAAGTATTTGTGTATATAAACAGGAAACATACAGTAAAATAAGGTACAATTTATTGGGACCGTTATAGTATATATAGTCCACCACTAATCGTGACACTGTTAGGGAGTGGATGACTGTAATCATAAATTTTCATTTCTAATTCTATGAAAGGAAAAGTATTACTCCCATCTTGAAGAAATCTGAACTCATAAATATTAACATTTAGGAGTAAAAACTGGAACAGGTAGAATACAGAGGAAAAAAAATCTTCCCTGAACTGTTGGCTTTGTTGCCAATCAATATTTGTTAAAATGACTAGATAAGAATAGAACATAATTAGTCACTATTAATTTGAATATTTAGCCAACTCATTTCATTTTGTATTATAATCATAGATTTTTTTTTCTGGTTTTCTTCCTGTTTTTATTTGCTACCATGATTTTCCTATTTTAATCCCTTTGCCATAGGACAAATGTAACAAATAAAAATCAATCAGTAGCAGGGGATTTCCTTTAAAAAAAAAATGGTTTCTCAATTATTTATAGAGTTTATTATGTACCAGGCATTGCTTGAAATGTTTTACATATATTATCATCTCAATTAATCACAACTAATGTCTGACATTTTATCCATCTATGTCATAAGTAAAGACATTGAAACACAAAGAAGTCAGATAACTGTGCTACAGGTGACACAATGAAGGATGCCATAGTCAATTAAACAGATGCTATACCTCTTAGAGTTCATTTAATCTATTGTTGGAATGTAGCGTATCTGCTGGATCTCAACAAAGGCTAAAAAGAATGAAGGAAAAGAAAACAACATTCTTACATATATTTTTAGCCTGGTACCTTAACTCAAATGAGTTGAACTGAAATGGGAGATGAGATTAAAAAGCAAGTGAGCCAGTTATAATACCTGTGGTTATAAACTGGTATACAAAAAATACACCAGTGTTTCTAAATGTTAGAGTACAGCAGAATTTCCTGTAGGTCTAGTTAAAACACAGATTGGTAGGTCCTTACTCCAGTTTCTGGTTCTGTAGGTCTAGGGTAGAATCTGAGAATTTGCATTTCAAAGAGGTTCTCAGCTAATGCTGTTGACCAAGAGACCACAATTTGAGAACCTTTGCATTACACTACATAAATTCACTGTCTACATAGCTATAGTAAATAAAAGCCACAGTAAATAAAAACACATACTTCTCCTGGGGAACTAGAACATAAATAAGAGGGTTTGTTTTAGAAGTTAAAGAGATGTAGAATTTTCAGACATTTTAATTTCTTTATTGCATTTTTAATGTAACATTTGACACATACAAAAATATATGTAAAATATACAAATGTTTAAGCCATCTAATTTTCATACCTAATTCATATAGTAGCAATCAATGCCTTCAAATACAGCCAACAAACTCTCTTTAATATTAAACTGTATTTGTTTTCATAACTGCCAGATACTCTTATGAGATTCAATTCTGACGAATACATATAACTTTCATAACATATATAGTATAAGCTAAACTTTAAAACTTTTTTTCTTCATTTTATTCTACAATGATCACTAGTGAACAAACACTATTGTTATTGAAGACTGATCTAGAGAAGGTATCAGATTTAACAGGAAAAATAATTTAAACTTTTCAAGGTATGTAGCAAAACCACCAAAGACAAGAACACAAAAAAGTATTTTACCCTAAATTTAACAAGTTTGCTCTTTTGTTAAATAAAGAATGCATAAAATTTAAGAATAGGGTAGACCATGTAAAGTGGGCCTTCAGAATTAATGATAAAATAGCCTTCCATGCTATTTGAATAATTATATACAATAAATATTGGCAATGAAGTAAATCTTACCCAGATCTAGTCGTTTTGAATTCCACCTTGAGGATAGGTTTGCATGGTTCTGGCTTCTTCCCATCCTTTAACTGTTTTCCTAAAATATATTTTCCTGCATTAAATTCTAAAATTCTAAGTTACTCTACATTCTTACATTGATAGTTTACAAAATTAAAGTGAAATATAATGAAATCTACCATGAAACATTTTAAAATGATTTTAAAGGAAGCATTTAATACACAATAGATATTTTTAAAATAATCAGGCAAAGTTATCGTTTGAAATTTGGTGCTAAAAAGCAAATATAATAATAAATAACTTAGTAAGTACATTTAGGTGATAAAATTCTAGCAGGAGAAACTGATAGTTTTCCCATTGTTCTTAATTGCAGATAAGCAAAACAGAATTTCAATTTGCTAAATAAATTCATTTTAAAACAGCAAGATTTGAGAAAAATAAATCTAAATCACATTTTCACCCTAATGTGACAAGCTGCAATGTTAAACCCTATATTTATTCTCCTTAAGTAAATCCATCCACTGTAATACCAAAAAGACTGCTAAAATACACCAATTTCTAAAATGTGGCAGAGGCTCTTTTTGTCAAAGAAATTTAATTATTTTTTAAAATGCTGATTTCAGTTATCTATTTCTACCTGTTTACTGCAGGAACTACAGAAAACTAAAAAAATAAAGAAAACAAAGCATTTATATCCCATATTTTAGAGATTAATCACTGTCCACATTACATTTCTTCTGGCAAATTACCTAACTTGGGAATGGTCTGAGGGATCCCTGACACTCATCCCTAACCCACATCTCTTAATCCTCTTTCACAGCTTTATTTTTTCTCCATAGTACTTGTCACATTCTAGCAACCTTTATATTTAACTTCTTTGTTTATTATTTGCCTAAATGGCAGGTATGTAAATTCTAGGAAAGCAATTTTCTTTCTTTTTTTTTTTTTGAGACAGGTCTCACTCCTGTAGCCCAGGTTGGAGTACAGTGGCATGATCATGGCTCAGTGCAGCCTCAACCTCCCGGGCTTAAGTGAGCCTCCAATCTCAGCCTCTCAAGTAATTAACTGGACCACAGGTATATACCACCATGTCTGGATACATATTTTTAAAGTTTTTTTAGAGATGGGGCTTTACCATGTTAATCAGAGTGGTATCAAACTCCTGGGCTCAAGGGAGCTGTTCATCTTAGGCTCCTGAAGTGCTGGGATTACGGGCGTGAGCCACCGCACCCGGCCAGGAAAGCGAATATTTTAGCGTATTTGTTTTCTGTTGTGGTATCCCTGGTGACAAACATTGTTTGGCGTATAGTATATCTTGGTAAAGATTTACTCCAGAGAGGTTGTGTCAATTTATAGTTCCATCAGCAGCATAAGACAGTATTTTGCCATATCGTTTCCCTAGCAATATTTTTTTTCTTTCACTGATCATTAAATAAAAAGGGTAACTTATTTTAATCTGATCTGTTTTGATCCCTAATGGTCACGTATACTTCTTTTAAAAAATAGCTTGCCGTCCTTCATCAATGCTTCTATGTAATTTTCCTTGTATTAGAAAATAAATTTTATATTCCAACCTTATTGACATATTGTCAATCATGTATGCTGCAAATATCTTCCCTAGTGAATTCTTACAAATTAAAAAAACTGTACAGAACTACACATCTAAATAATCAAGTCTATCAGCCTTAACATGTCCCAATTTAAAAAAAATATAAAATCCTAAAATATCAAGTCTTCCAAAATTAATCCATAAATTTAATGTAATTAGAATCTCAACAGCTTTTCTTAAATTTGGACAAAGTGACCTTAAAGTTCACATGGTAGCCTAAATACCTATGTACAGCTAAGGAAACTACCAAAAAGATCGACTTCCAAGATGATAAATATTATAGGTAGGAGACAGGTATGAGTGGGGCAGGAGAGGGCTCTAGAAATGTCAGGTGATGGTTCGGCAATTATCACACTGCCTCATTAAAAGTGATAAATTGGCAGCCAGTGACAGAGAGAACCCATTTCCTGACGGTCCAGCCTCTTGCACTGAAGTGTTAACTGAATGCAAGTGCCAGGGAGATGCAACTTCCCAGGGCTGTGCAGTATGACAAAATGGTGGAGTATGACCTTCAGGAGGCACTCCACTGGAAAAGGGAGGAAAGCCTCAGATGGCCATGTGTACAAATTCCTAAACACACTGCACATGTTCACCTCCCAAGAATAAGGAGGGCATTGCACATATGGACAGCCCCCCGCCAAGGAATAATCATGGGAAAGGGACGAGCTTCTGAAGTCCTAGGATCAGAGTTAAACACTGCACTTGTTCTCCAATTTTCCCAGCTGGATCTCTTCCAAGTATTTCTTCCCTGTTATAAAGCCTTTTTAATAAACTTCACTCCTGCTCTGAAATTTGCCTTGGTCCCTTTTTCTGCTTTATGACCCTCAGTCAAATTCTTTCTTCTGAGGAGGCAAGAATTAAGGTTATTGTAGATCCATACAGATACACTGCTGGTAACTCAGATATATGCCACCAGCAACAGGAGGACCCTGGTGAATTTGCTCTCCAACAAAAATGAAAATACTAGTAAAACAACTAAAGTTAACCATTTTAGAACTCTGGAGAACGACCAAGCCACTAATAAGATCAAAAATCATCTGCCCATTAGGAATTACTGAACTTCAGTAACATGAGGGGTCAGGGGACAGAGAACTGTGATGTTTTTAAGGAAGATCTACTTCTATCCCCTGGCTACCCAGCTCAGCAGTAGGCTAGCATGAAAATGCAGTAGTATCAGGCAACAGAGAAGACTGAAGTTTTCTTGGAGCTCTGTTAAAACCACTTTTGCTACAGCACAATCAACATTTTGTGCAAACTTGCAGCTCCTTAGAAAAGTCTATTCCCAAAGTGCTGTGGCTATTTCATTTGACACAGACCTCAAATATAGGAGACAAAAATCCCTACCCTCAGGGCATTCCAGAATAACAGCAATCTGCTAGAAGTATTACAGTACTGCTATCTAAGGCTGTAGTTTCAGTTAAGGCAAATAGAACTCAGGCAGAAATTTAAAAGAAAAGCTCAGAGAACTAGACACATTCATGGGGTCTAAAAGGCTGTGTATGCTCAGGAAAGAGTGAGGAAAGAAGAAGGCCCTAGTCACTCACTTCTGGCCAACTTTGAGATCCTGAGCAAACAGAAAGTTAAAAAAAAAGAGTAAAATTAGTTATAACACCTATTACTGGCAAGGGTGTTGGAAAAGGGATACTCATACATGGCTGGTAGAAATCTGAAGGATATAGCTTTTTTGAAAAATGGTTTGAGAACATTTATTATAAGTAGTAAAACTTCAATATTTGATAGAAACTGTACTATGAAGCATTTATTTCATAGAAACAAAAGGACCAATTCCTATGGCATATGAACAAAGATGGTAACTGCAGCACAATTTGCAGTGTTAAGAAATGAAAACAATGGAAACACCCATTAATCTGGAATAGCTGAATAAGCTGTGATAAAAAAAAAAAAAAAAATGGCTCTTTACAAAGCCATTAAGATAAATGAATTAGAGCTACGCCACAACATTTGGAGGAATTTTCCTAAAGTACAGTGATTAAGACGCAAAAAAGAGTTACAAACAATCCAGTTCCACTCTTTAAAAGTTATTTTAAAATGTACAATTATTATTGAACTACAGTCACCCTATTGTAAGTCAAAGGATAAATGTTTGAGGGTATTAAAACCCCATTCTCCATGATGTGCTTATTTCACATTGTATGCTTGCTTGGATCAAAGTATCTCATGTACCCCATAATGTATCTCATGTACCGATTATGTACTCAAAAAAAAAAAAATTAAAGACGCAAAAAGACTAATATAATCCTAATTTTTATAAAACAATGATCAGAAAAATAATCTCACGTTCATTTGTGTGGATATGTGTTAATAGACATGATTTTAGAAATATACGTATTTTTGGAAGAACATCTAAGATTTTTGACATAGCTTACCTGGTGGGATAAAAAAGGAGATTGAGTTGCTAACAACGGAAAAGGCTGAGGGAGAAGAAACTGATATGACAGGATCCCATTTAAGTATAATAGTATACACATGTGTATGAAAAAAACTATCAGTCTTTTTGGTCACTCCCCTCTCTGGTTTTATGCTTGGAAAGTTCTTACCCATAACAAAATTACATGAATCTTTCTTTCTTATAATTTTTAGATTCATTTATTATATTAATCATTTGTGTGATGTGTATTTTGGTACAGAAAAGACATTTTCCTCTTAATTATTAATAAGCTATCAATCATCTGAGTGCAAGTTTAATAGCTCTACTGAGCTATAACTGCTAGACAACAAAGAGCACATATTTAAAGTATACAATCAGATGAGTTTTGACAGAAATATTTACTTGCCAACTCTTTCTATTGAACCATCAGTCTCTCCTTACTAGTATAAAATATCACCTATGTTAAATTTTTATAAATATATATCTGTACACTGGTAATGGACACTTAAATCCTATCTTAATTTAAGATCCTAGAGAATCATCCCTTTCCTCTCCTTGTGAAGAAATGATAGTACATGGAATCTTGAATCTCTGACAGCCCAATTTACAAGAACCAAGAAGTGACAGAAGTGACCAAAAACCTGGAAAGAACTGCCAGGGGAAAGGAAAGGATTGCTGAAAGGAAAATGTATGGAAAAAAAGGAGGCTTAAATCTGAAAAGTAGTCCCTTGTGTCATACATAGAATAAATTAAGAACTTCAACCTCTATTCCAATCTATAGAGAGATGTATATGACCTTTCAGTAAAAAATGTAAATGTTTGCTCTGAAGAAGGTCAGCTGGCTTTTATCTTTCTGCTATGCAGAGTTCTGGCAGGAGAGGCAGGCTGATAGAATTTAGGATTGTAGACTCAAATTTTACATTTAGCTTCAAACATGATTTTGTTTTATGAAGTGAAACAATTATTCAGAAATAACTCCTTTAACTTATTTCAATATTCAACACCAATCTTTCAGAGGCTGGAACAAATTTTAAAAGGCATTAGATGGTATTTGCTAAACCATTCCAAGTCTGAGCTTCTG